TTCCCACGCCGCCCAGGAAGGGGGTAGTTTGTTTTTCTAGCTTGTGTATGGCTGGCACAGCATACATTATAGCTCGGCTATGCTATGCTGCTTTCTTATCGCGCGTCTCGCGGCTCGCTCATTTCCACGGGGGCCGAGAGGCAGCCTGGATGCCGCTTTTGAGGCATTTCCCTCATTCTCCGGCAACTTGACTCGGTTTCCGCTGCTATGCCCGAGCTGAGATTTGACGAAGCCATGTCGACGACGTGTTGGTCTTGTCGCATCATTGCTGTCATCCAGCCGCAACTGTACATGCCGTCTTGGAACGCGTTCCGTTCAGCCGGCATTGCTCTCGGCTGCTACAGCCTTCAAGGTTCCATTTTCTGTTCAAAGCCAGAAAGTTTTACGTCACATCTACCAGTCATACAAAGCACTTCTTGGGTAAGATATCGCTCTCTATCAATGAAGCCATATTTTGGACGTGAGGGTTGTCATGTCTTCATGTCATGGGTTCTTAGTAGCCCACAACAGAAGAAGGCCTGTGGGCAACCTGACCCGTTTTGGATGAGCAGCTACCAGGGGTGTCGAGACAAAACACTGGACGGTGTAGCCACATCTCATCACTGCAGGTGACAGTTTGGTACTATACGAATGGGCTTTCAGTTCATTCACCGAGGTTTTCAACCTCATGTATATTGTGATTATCCGAGATGCGAGAACAGTGATTAGGCGTGGCCCATGGTGATCAAAGCCTGCTTGTGCCCTGAACCTGAACTTCACCTCAGCTTTGGGGGCTACCTTAAGGGGACCCGTGACCAGGTTCTCACGGAATGGCTTTGGGCTAAGACGTTGCCACCGTCAACCGTAGATTTAGAATGGGATTGGCTTAGGTCAAGATTAATCTTGTAAAAAACGGCCCATGGACACAGTCTTGGCCTAAAGATAAGGACGTGACACGCATAGAGCTAGACGGGGAAAATGAACAGCGGAACAAGAACAAGGGCAATCACAGTTCGGAGAGAGTAGGTGGACATGTCACGAGGAAGCACCAATCTGGAGAGGACTTGTCAAATGTTTAGTCAATGCCAACAGACTAAGACGGGTTTAGGAGCACTTACTTCTCTTCAACTATCCGAGAAAACCAGACATAAGCATGTGTGGGAATGAGTTAGTGGATGATGATGTTACAAAAGACGAAATTGCTTACCTTTTTGTCACGGTGAACTTGCTTATAAGAGTAGACATGAGCATGAGTAGTGTGATGTTGGTCTCAAGAAAAGTTGAAAGGGAGAGCCGCTTACCTTGCTTATCGTTGATTCTGTTGAATTGAATCAATGACGAAACTGCTAGTATGTGCCCAAGTTAGCTGATTGAAGGTCCTGTTAGTCAATGGGATAGGACTTGCTTTTTTTGTTTTTGAAAATACTGTTTTGTTAAAATCTAGAAGTGTTAGCGAACCACAAAGGCACCTAGATTTGGTTATCATCATGAGGAAAAATAGCAGATAAATGGCAAATAGATCAAGACTGGCAGGAGTACAATTACCCTCCCGCAACAAGAGACTAATGATGTTTGGCTGTCGACAGGTTGAGGGGAGGGTTGGGGGGCAAAGAACGAATGAAGAAAGTGATAGAAAGACAAAAGAAATTACAAAAAGGAGGAGGGAAAGGGGAGCAAAGGGAAAGAAAACGGAAGAAAATAGAACAAACAGGCCACACAGGGTAAGGAAATCAGAAAAGACGAAGACAACGAGAACGACGGCTGATGTGAACAAGGCGACGCGGAGGTCGCGGGGATACAGGAAGGGGTTTAGGCAGCTTGGAGAAACCAGGCTTACCATGGGCAAAAGAAGGGGGCGTCCAGGAGGCGGGGAGTTGCTCACCGCGAGCGGTGAAGTGAGCTTGGGTTACGTTCCGCGCAAACTTGCGCAGAACTGCATCGTCGTTGAGAGACATAGGTAGGGGATCTGGAGCATGGGATACAAAACAGCGCACACGGATACGACCATCTGGCATGATCTTGATTGGGGTTAAGACAGGGGAAGAAGGACGGGGAGGTGTGACAGAAACAGAAGAGACAGGAGCAACAGAAGAAACAGGGGAAGACGATGATGAAGTGTCCCACTCAGCCAAAGCTGCGGGGACCAGTGCTGAAGGCGTGGGTACGTGTGTGAAGGAGTAGGAACTGAGGCGATCCTCCTCGAGGGTAGAATCCCAGTTGGAGATGGTGTGAGGTGTTGGGGAGTCTGTAGAGTAGTCGTAGCTCTTATCAGCAGACGGCTTCGTCGCTGGGCCACTGGCCACAAGAGCCTTGAGCTGTGCAAGCTTCAACGCGCAGTCGCGGTCGAGGTCAATTGCCCGAAGGCGCATGCGCTCCACACTGCGATCGATAGTATCCATCTCCCGATGGGGAGGGTTACAAGAAGGGGAAGAAACCAAAGAACAGTCGGAACAAACACAAACAGCAGGGGAAGAAGGAACAGAAGGGGAAGAAACAACAGAGGGGGAAGAAACAGGGGCAGATATAGGAAGGGAAGGGGTATCAAAAGAATCAGAAACAGAAGAAGAAGGAAAAGAACGTAGCGGACGAAGACGAGCCTCGCGTGCTTTACTAATCTGCCTATCGGCAAATGCCATGAGCTGATCAAAGTCAGGCACAGGGCGGGTAGGGGCAAGGGAATCAACAAAGGGGTCTTCTAAGCAATGAGAGGAAACAATAGAAACAGAAGGCGTCCTGGTGGAAGCCGGGACGGGGGAACGGGAAGAGGTGAAAGAACAAGACAGTGAGGGGCTTCTTCGAGGAAGAGAACCCATGTAGTGTGACATGCTAAGGGTAAAGGCTCGGGGGGACAGGCGGGGAGGAGTACAGACAGGGGGAACAGGAGCGGTGAACCGCGTACAAAAGCCCTCAGAGGACTTACCAAGAGAAGAAGAAGAAGGCGCCGTGATCGAGGGTCGAGGAGCTCCAGTCTGGGGTTGAAGAGGAGACGAGCTGATGACAAGCATCGCGGGGGGCGCCGGAGCGAAGAGGAAGCCGCTGGAGGACAAGGTCAGTAAACGAGAGTCGAGGTGCCCCCTTATCAAGGGGAGCAACCCATGGAAAGATACTTACTTGATCCGTTCCCAAGAGGAAGCGACAAGAGGGCGGAGGTAGGACGCGGCCGAAGCAACGAACCGAAGGGCGAGGGAACCAAGCGAGGCGACAAAGGTCGAGCTGGTGTTGACAGGGACATTAACCCTGGAATCCGGACCGGTCTCAGACGGGCGGGCGAGATCCGACGCAGGCGAGAAGCGAGAAGACATCATAGCTGAAGCAAGAATCAAATCAACAGTCAAACCGTGAAGAGAGAGGAAGAAGAGAAGTGGGGGATGGAGGAGGTGGTGGCATTAAATAACCACGAGGCCGGCAAGGTGGCGTCCTTGGATCAGTAACATCCCATTGGCTGGAAAATTGCACGCCCAAGCAGGAGTGTATGTATTAAGCCTCGTAGGGCTGAACTTTAGGCTCAAAGTGGTAAAGCGGGCCATAGAGGTCGATGGGCTAGTCCAGATCGGGTCGAGGCATGGGGGCGCGATCTGTTTTGAAATTGGGCAAAAAGAACAGTTACGAGGAGGAAAGTAGAAAAAGGCTTAGAAAAAGCGCGTTCTATGGTACAAAAGATCTATATAAACCTGAATTCCAATTTTCTCTGTGACAACTGCGTGTGGTGGTGAGTTGCTGCGCGTCGTAGGTGGAAATGTCGTTCGACGCACGGGGGGCGATGGGGGTTCGGGCGAGGATCCTCGAGCGACGGCGTCGGCCGTCAGTGATCGTCGATGGAGTATCGCGCGGATGAGATACCTTGGCGAGAAATAACGCACAAGGAAGCGGGGTTCCAAGCAATCGTTTCCTGAAACTATATCGCTCGCGCAAGTACGGGCTGTTACGGGCTGTTGCGGACGAAGGAGAACGAGGATGAGACAACGCCAGAATTGGATCCGCGAGGATGTCGCGTGTCGGGAGTAAAAACCACTTGAAAATTGGCACCAGGGCCGGTATGAGTGTTTTAACGATCCCCGGACATTCCCGAGATTGCCGGCCGCGTTCTAATGTAATTCGAGCCGATTTGCGTCAGTTGCGACGGAGTCACTGCTCATCCGGGGTAGATCCCTTCCTCGACCACCAAGTCGAACCTGCCTCAAATCACCTTCTGAACACGCGAACACGTTGAGCAACATCAAAATTTTACAGATAAACCTATTTGAGGTGGCCGAAAGCATTTTATCAAAGAACCGATAGGAAAGAGGCTATCGGACGGACGGGCGTCCACGACAAGATGCACTTGTCGAAGACGATACTGTCATCGCGACCAAGATGGTCAAATCAAGTTCAACAAGAGTTCTATTGATGCCCACGCTTCTCGGAGCCTACACCCAATAGACCGAGCGCTGGACATCCGATGTGTCTTCCGCCTCACCGAAGCGGCGACCCCTTACCGGGCGTCCAAGTCGAGCCCGCACCAAACCCGCCACTCGATGATGGTCCAATACCAGGGGCACCCGGTGTCGAAGGAGCTACGGTTGTTCCGTCAGTAGGCAAGGGAGGTGGCGTGTCTGTCCTCTGGACGTCCGCAGCCTGTCCGCTTCTAGCAGGTGGCCTGAAGTTGACGTCTCGCCCAGCTCGGTAGATGTCTTGTAGCATCGGCTCTAATACACCCGCATCTTCGAACTCCAAATATTTCCGATACAGCTTCAACGCCGTCCGGGCATCTTCGATCGAGTCGTGGGTCTCCAGCTGGATATCCTCCTTCAACAGATACCACGCCAAGAACGCCAGTGAGAGCTTCCGCAGGCGAGACTTCAAAAAGAACAGGTCGATCGTATCGATGACCTGAGACCGTGGAATATGGATGTTGATCACTCGGAAATCCTGCTTGAGGCCGTGACCAAGGAACTTGCAGCCAAGGTTCAATAGGATCCAGAGTTTCTTGTACGCAACCTTTAGAGGGACGAGGTTGTGCTTCGACACGCGGGGATCGAGGTCGTCGTGGGTAATGCCTGAGTACGACGTCAGGTAGTCGACAATAGGCTCCCTGATGGAGATGTAATCATCAATAAAGGGGAGACCTTCGTCCTCCCCTTGGCCACGAACAACGGAAGCTCTAGCAAGAGCGTACACTATTGGCCGAATCGTCTCTCTCTCGCCATCCGAGTTCATCTCAATTTCGGGCTGGCGAACAGCAACGAACTCGGTATCCAGAGCCACAATGCTGTCTGGACCAGGCTGTTCACTACCTGAATCAAGCGCACGATACGTTTTGCCATCGATGTGGGGGCTATCTGTGGTCAGCGAGTCGTCCGCGAAAGAGAGATATAAAAAGGTTGCCAACTTGTTGTCCTCGTATAGTAGCGAGGTATCGATGTTCTTCTTCCAATCCATGTCGATCTTGTTGTTCGCCTCCTTAACTTGGAACGCTATGACTGAAGGCATTTTCCATCCTGGGTGGAATGAAAGTGCTTCTTCAGCGCTCACAGACCGAACAAGGAAGTCATTGAAGAGATGCCACTGGCTTGTCTGCGGGGCTGTAGGTTGGGCATGGGCGACTGCACCAAGGTCAGCTTCGGTATCCCACAAGCAAACGACAGATCTTACCATTGACCATGGCGACTAGGTGGGGCTTCTGGCCCGGACCAGGGTCAATGTTCATGGCCATGCCGATAAGCGAATACACAGTGATGTTATGGATACCACGTTGGAGGTGGAGCGTCAAGTCTTCTCCCTCGTAACAGAAGAACTGGCCGTGGTCTACTATGACGCCAATTTCTTCAGGAAGGAAGCCTGGCGTGGACCAATAACGCCTTTGCTCTGCGTTTCCAATAGCAGTATTCAGCATGAACACTGCGGGAATATTATGGATGGTTTTCCGAGTTGCGATGGTCTGATAACGCTGGCATCGACTACACCAGCCTTTGGACGTTGTCTCCCTCTCGACGCTAGATTTGAGGATCTGCGAAAAAGTCACCTTTGGTGCTTTCTGACCGCGGCCCGTGCTCTTCTATGCGCAATTAGCGGTATGAACTTAAGGGGGTTTGTCGATAACGTGTCGTGGCTCAGCATGATTTGGGTTTTGACTCACCCCTGTGGTCTGCGGGTACATCAGATCGTTCACGTAGGTCGATCCGGGTCGAGTGTACTCGCTTCTGCAGTTCATGCATCGAATTGAACTAGTCGCTGACGTCGCAAGCATCTTGAAGTGGTCAGCTACTTCAGCACTCAATGCAGCCACTTGCCACATACCTGCTCCATCACATTCGAACCAGGAGGGATAGATCGATAGTCCTGAACTACCTTATCCAGGAGGAACCGTGTCAGGCCCTGCAACATCACTGTCAAAGTGGACCCATTGGGGTCTTCTTCGAGGAGACCAAGAGGGCCAGCTATGGGGATGTCAGTTTCCGCTTTGTGCTTCCCAAATTCGAAAGACTAACCTTGAGGATGATGGCTGAGGGTCTTCAGCATATTGGTCGCCTGGCAGATGGACCCCTCGGCCTTCTGGAGCATGTCGAACAAAAAGCCCAACTCGCACAACAAGCAGGTATCGGCAACACAGGCGGTGGATGCGTGCTGAAGAGCCATGTTTCGAATCAGCGGCGTGAAGTGCATGACTTGAAGCAGGGAGTTTGCATAGGAGTTTGCGATGTGGATCTCGAGCCCCGAATACTGCGTTCTGTTGTAGAACCTGAGAGGGGTCAGCAAGCAAGCTCTTTCGTGCGGGGAACGAGCTGGCATACCCAAAGTCAAAGTCATCAACGCCAAACTTGCTGTATTTGATCTCAACATTGCGGTACATCGGAGGGCACTCTGCTTTCGTGGGATCGATGTCCATGTGCGAAAGAGAATTGGCAACGTCATCAACCTTCTCATCGCCATTCGCATTACCGATAGGGGTCTTGGCAAACTCTCTTGCCTTTTCGCTGAGGAATTTAGGCGCCAAAATCCCCGAGGCGTTCCCCTTGTCCAGATTCCGGGTGTCCTCAACTTGGTTTCTTCGAAGGCCTCGCGTGTTGCGTCCATACAAACCTAACTCCGATTGCTTGAGACCCGCAAGGAACTGAGGTTCCAACTTGGTAGGGGGGGCTCCAATGTCGGAGATGAGTTCTGGCCAAGCAGACAGCAAGACCTCCCGGTAATACGGCATGCCGATGGAGTTGAGAGGTCTAGTAGCAGGTCAGCAACCAGAAGAAGAAGAAAAAAATACTCGAGGGCACATATTACTGACGTATCGGCAGTCCACTCTACGGAGGGTAATGGTTCTTCGGGGGTTGCAAACTCGGTCTGCGACGCGAAATCGACAAAGCGTAGTTTGGAAGGAGACCCCCAGATGTGGATGTTGTAATCTGCGTCCGCCAAAGCAACGGCCTCGCCGGATGGTGCGATTTCGAACATGGTAAGGTATGTCATTGTGTTGGCTTGCCGCACATTGCTAGTGTTTGGATTCATCAGGTCAACAACATGCATCTGTCCGCTCTGAGACATGACGATGCTGGTTGTTGACATTCTCGGGTGCATCCTGACAAAGGCGGCGCCAGCAGGAAACGGAATCGGCGACATTGACGACATCTTCTTGATGTCGAAGACATTCAAGAATGGATCCAGCATGTAGTTCTGACCCTGGCGCAGCGAATAACCGCAGGTGACGATGAAGTCGTGCTGGGCGTCCATGTCGCTGATTAGAGCCGAGTGCGCGTTCCAGCTCTTAACTACCGAGAAGCTGACGGGATCAATCAGGTTGACCGTGCCGTCTTTTGTGGCGGCGCAAATATATCTGCTTCGTTTCATGACTTTATAGGAGTGTGTGGTCGGAACCTAGGTTCATCAGCAAGGCGCTCGTATCACTCCGTTCACGTCAAACGAACCTGTTTGACCACCTCGCCCTTAGCAAGATCGATCACAAACATGGTGTCCTGGAATCCGGCCACTAGGATTTCCGATGTCCCCTTGGACGTAAAGCTCATGCATCGTAAGTCTTTCATATCATCATGTCTGTATGGATAGTGTCAGGCAGTGGTCCAGCAGTCCGAACAGGTGGTCTCGCACCTAATATGCCATATCGGGGGGCCTTTCCGAGAGGCCATGTGTATGTCCCGCGATCCCAGCACCACAACGCCTTTGTCGTTGACGAGAATTTGCCTCACAGGACCGTCGGGCGTTGTGTGTGCCTTGAAGGAGGTGTATCGCTGCAGCTCGCTGCCGTAGAAAGACGTGACGCGGCCCTAATAGGTCGTCAGTATGTGTTCGAGACGAAGTTTGACTTGAAGGGCCCATACGTAGTCGTTTCCGGTCCACAGCAGCTCTTGAGCCGTGTCAAACGTCATGGTCGTCACGGGCGTCGCCATGGCGTGGACGCCCGGAGGCGGAAAGGGGATGCGAGCGACCTATAGACATTGCAGGTGATTAGCAAATTGCTCGATACAAGAACGGAGACGCGCATAGTCAGTCAATTGCGCCGGGCGCAATTGTGAACCAGGTGCACCAGCGCAACGGGAAGCGCGTGTCTCGATAGAAGGATGCATCGCAAAAGCCAAGGAAAGGTAATGGGCTCCGACTCACCTCGTCCCAGTCTCCGTCCATTTTGGTCTGCGTTTCCTTGCCCAAATGACCATAGTTTTGGGGGGATGAAGAACTGATGCCAGGAAATGGGCGACGGACGGGGTCGCAGCCAAAGAACGCAACACGTCAAGAAGAGGGAAATGTGCACAAAAACGGCTCTGGAACCGGATCGCGACGAGGCCCAAAGCTTCGCGCAGCTTGTGCAAGCAAGCGGCAGGCGACCAGAGCCAGAGACAAGGTGTCGCGCCCAAAGGCTAAGCCACTTGCATGAGCCGGACAGGGCAGGGAACAGGATGTGGGGGAGGCTGGTTCACAATTGGGCGCTTCTCCGATTTCTCTGCTGTCTCTACTTCTTCCCCTCTTCGATTCAAGGTGTCGGGATGCACGCCCGCGCGCTAGCCGGTGTATTCCCGAAATCGGGTCAAGGTGAGATTACAGTCTCCACACCCCTCCCTCACCGACGGGAGGCACCGAGTCAAGGTTGTGCTTATGCGACCTTTGTTGATTTACATCCCTAACCTGGAACCATTTTCTTGCTCTACTGCAATCCATCGTTGCGAATGATTGTGGCACACGTAAAAATAGGCGGCATGTCGAATGCAAACCAGTTGCGGATGGTGAGTTGAGGTTGTTCCTCTAAATTGAGTAGTCTTACTTGTTTCTTCATCTATCAACCAAGTAAGAACACATCTTACCCCCACCCCCTCGGAACAACCAGTTCAGCCCGCGCAACACCTAGGCAAGCCATGTCGTAGGGAAGTTTCCAAGTCTTCCGCCGTCCACAGTTATGACCGTACCATTACAGTAGGCTCCAGCTCGGGATGCGAGGTAGAGCATTGCACCCGCCAAGTCCTGAGTGTCGCCCATCCTCTGCAGGGGTACCATCTCTTTGGGAACACTGCCGTCGCTGCTGTAAAGCTTCGCAATGGGCGCTGACATCTCACTCGGGAACACTAGCAACACGTCAGTTCATGCCATCTCACAGGGCCACGGAGAACCTACAGCCAGGGGCGATGCAGTTAGCTCTGATGTTCCAGCGGGGCAAATTGCTAGACAGCTGTTTGATAAGAAGGGTTGCGGCCGCCTTAGACTGGCCGTAGGCCCAACCACCAGGAGCGTTCTTGTTGAAGGCAGCAATGGAGCTGGTCGAGACAACTTGGGAGCTCTGAGAGAGGTTGCCCTTCTTGTTGCCCAGGTCCAGCAGCTTGACAAAGGCCATCACGGTATACCACACGGAAGTAACATTTACGTCGAAGGTCCGTGTGTACTCAGAAGTGTCGTGCTCAAGGTGTTGCTCAGCCCACTCGGCAGCGGTCATTTCTGCTGAGGGAGCCTTGACTTGGGGTCCACCGACACCTGCATTGCAAACCAACAGGTTGATGAAGCCGGCTTCCTTCTCAATGGTGGCAGTTGCCTCTTTCAGGCTGGATTTATCGGTCACGTCGCAGACCAAAGGGACAACATTGGGTCCGACAGAAGAAGCGGCTTCCTGGAGGACCTCCTTGCGCCGGCCCAAGATATAGACCTTCTCGGCGCCGTTGGCGGCCAAGGCCTTGGCCATCATGAGACCGATACCTGTCATTTGTCAGCGTACGTGATTGACCTACGAAACTGGCGAATGAGTCACTTACCAGAGCCGCCGCCCGTAATGACAGCAACCATACCATTGACGCCAAACAGAGTGGCAGCGCCTAGAGCCGCCAGTTCGTTCTTATTTTCTGCCATATTTGCAACTTTTGCTTAGCAACTATTACTTCCACTTACAACTGGACTTGCTCCTGTATATATATGGTGGGATTACTAATGATCCTAATCTATCGAGCTACGTAAGGAACAGAGCATCGAGAACCACCCGTAGGTATCTGCAACAGCGGGGTGGCTTGAGTGCCCCTCCATGAATGAACGTCATCCATGCCGTTGAGCCATCATTTTGGCCAATCAGATGCGGATAAACTCAAGGTCTCGACTTTTGACCAGTCCTAGAGCACGGGCCGTCGACCCACCACGGGCACGGTCGTCGGAAGCATTCCGTCTTATCGATTGGCTTTCCTCCCGGCAGTCGAACCACCTTTTTTTTATTCTGCGCCGGCCAGCTTTGTAGCTTCCGACAACCCACCAAACGGCAGCGAAAAGAGACCAACACAATTCGCAAAACCGCCGAGATGGTCAAAAGGAAGAGGTCGCGCGAGGATGACATCGAGCAGAAGCTCGCCGATTACAGGAAAGAAATTTTCCGTGCCCTGAAGGGCGCAAAAGGGCTGGAGCGTCAACGGTACAGCAAACGGTTGCGCGACGATAAAGCGACGCCCGACAAGGTCAAGAGACTGGAGCGCGAGATTCTTGTGCTCAAGGTACGTGTAACCCCTTTATGACGGCGTATGAAATAGTCCAAATTTGCTAACGTAGCCTCCAGTCCCTCGACCTCCAACAAACCGCCGACGCCCATCTCCACTCCTCGCTCCTCAAAGTCAAGCAAATCGCTGAAAGCCCTGCCCTGCCCGAAGTGATCAAGCAAGGTGTTCCGAAGCCAGACCTGTCCGAGGACGAGAAGGTGGCGCTGCACAATGTCACCAGCGGCCTCTTCAATCGTGTACATGTCCGGGAGGCCATCGAAAAGGCGATCCGGGGCGTTTGCTTGATCCTGAATGTCCCCATATTGGAAAAGAAGAAGAAGGGCAAGAAGGGCGCTGCGGAAGACAAGAAGGAGACAGAGGAAGAGCAGCCTCGAGAATCAAAGAAGGCGAAGGTGGCAGACGCGAAGGATGTGTCGGCCAAGGCCAAGGCCAAGGTGGAAGAGGAGGAAGAGAACCCCTTTGACGAGATGGACGACGAGATTCCTCCCGAGAGCGGCGCTTCGGACGGGGAGAAGAACGAGGACGTTGAAGAGGTCGAGCTCGACGAGGAGGACGAAGAAAAGGCCGTTGCCAAGTACGAGGCCATGCTCGGCGGCTCGGATTCGGAAGATGAGAGCGGCGGCGAGGATCTGAAAGCCAAATACCAGGCCCTGCTGGGCGAAATCGCAGACGGGGACACCGCAGATGACGAGAGCAACAGCGATGAAGACGACGACGACGACAACGAAGGAGAAGAAGAAGGCGAGGATGACCAAGACGACTCGGACAGCGGGATGGACTCGGATAGACAACGCCGCATCAATGCCGCCAACGTCTCCCTCTCCCCCTCCCCTGAACCGGCATCACGCAAGCTGAAGAAACAGGCCCGCGCCAAGAAGCCCACGGGTCGGCCCGGGGAGACGACCTTCCTGCCCTCGCTCATGGGCGGGTACATCTCCAACTCGGAGTCCGAGGCGTCGGACCTCGACCTCGCACCGCCCAAGAAGCGCCTGGGCCAGAAACAGCGCCAGGCCATCTGGGAGAAGAAGTATGGCGCGCAGGCGAACCACGTCAAGAAGCAGACGGACGCGCAGAGGACCGGGGCCCGGGACAGCGGGTGGGATATGAAGAGGGGCGCCGTCGGTGGAGAGGAGGAAGGGCCGCGGAAGCCGTGGAAGAAGGGCGTTTCTAACCCCCTGGGCGCCAGGCAGGGAAGCAGGAGGGACGATGGCCAGAGGGCTGCAGTCCCCGAGAGGAAGCCGAAGCCGCCACCGAAGAAGGATGATGAGGGTGTTCTGCATCCCAGTTGGCAGGCGAGGAAAAAGGCCAAGGAGGAGCAGACCACGGCTGCGTTCCAGGGCACCAAGATCACTTTCTAGTTCGTCTTCACGGAGTTGGTATACCACTAAGTTCATGAAAAATCAATTGCTGTTAGGTATCTATCTGGCTATCTTTGGGCGAGGTGATACAACTGTTGTGAGATCAGATGGAAACAACCTGGTCCGGTTCCACCTAGACAGCCCGATCAGTCCAAGCTGATTCTCAAGTCCCTGAGAATCCGATATTTGGGATCGCAAGCCGCTGTTTATGCTGCTCGTTCTTTCTGAGAGCCGCCACTGCGAAAATCATGAACCCAAGGGCAATCTGAGTACTGTTGCTGGCGTATATCAAAGACCTTAGAGAAATGAGATTCTTACCGAACATGCGGCAAAGCTCAGCGATGCCACGCTGGGTGCCCTGGGTATATAGAAGTAGGAAATGCGGTCATGAAAACTGGATTGTCGCAATCAAAACGCAAGAAAAGCAAATACCGCAGCTCCCCCGCAGTGTCGTAGATCTAGCTGGAAAATTCTGTAGAGATTTAAGACGAAACTGGATTTTTTCCTCTTCTATATTCGTCCGGGGCGGCGGAAAACTTGGTGTAGAAGCTATCGTCTTCGTAGTCGCTTGAAGACTAAATCATCTTCGTCGCTGGCGAGACGTTGCCTGTTAGAACCGGAGGTGATGTGTGGATAGACAGGTTGAGAAACCATTTGGCGAGAGGAACTGGACTGAGAAGAGCTTGGATATGACGTCGCAGTCTTATCGTCAGCTTCGGTCAGGTCGATGGCGTTGCGGATATCTAAATCCTCAAACCCCCTCTTTCGAAGCGTTTCTGTCATCGTGGTGTGCTCGCGCTGACTACAGCGTTCTGTTGTTGTTGGCGAGCGAACGAATAGGCCATTGCCGCTGTCAAACGACCTCTCGCTCTCCCTGGACGAAACCGTGACCACGGACACTGCTACAGACAGCTCGCGCTCTATATCCCGTTCGTGCTGGAGCTTGGTCAGTCGTGGAGTCTTTTTAGGCTCGAAGAAGTCCAGCTCAATGGGACTGTCTGCGTTTGACCCCACTAAGGAACCCTCATTGTCGTAGTCATTCGCTACGTTGGCTTCTGTAACAATGGAAGCATTCGAGTAGGCCGATACAGAGCGGGCGTTGAGCACAGTCGCTCTTGGGGTGGTATCGTTATTCTCGGAACTGGAGCCATCTTCCTCACTGTCGTCTCGCACTTCAATGGCGGCAGGTGGTTTCCTCATGGGAGCAGTCTTCCTACCACCCTCAGAGTGTTCAACACTAGCTGCCTTCCGGGCTGTCGTCGCCTTGCGTTTCTGCGTGGAGCTCGTAATGTCTGACATCTTAATATCGCCATCTTCATCCTCCTCACAGATCGCTGGCGAGACGTACTTCGCGTCGAACGCTTCACTGTGTCTGTAGAGACTCTTGACCGCCTTCAGATACTCGTCCGGTGCCACAAAATTACGAAGGACTGGTGTCAAGTTCTCGAACTTTGCCGCCTCAGCCTGATTACCGGTCTTTGGCATAGCCGTCACGTTCTCAACATCCATGCCGAAGGACCAGTCACGGATGGGATGACGGCCTCCGTCTTTGCGAGCCATTTCATAGTCGTAGAACTGAATGAACTCCATTCCCCGAAGCTGGTGAATGAAATCCAAACCCTGGAGTGTTCGAAGCGATCTCGTTAGACGGAAGTTGGGCTGACCAGCGGTCAACGATGCCATGTGCTTGATGTAGCTGCACGGCTCGTGCCCACGTCTGTTGTAATCTCTGCTACTCTCGTCGACGTGGACAACCAGACTCTTCAGACGACGCATCTGACAGAGCCAAGAAACATCCCAAGTTCTTTTGGAAACCCATTTGAGATTCTTTTTGTCATTGCCTTCCTGCACTGGTCTGTTTGTGAGATACTGGTTTCCCATCCAGAGAAGCTCAACATGCTGGATCCGCTCTCGGCGCGCAGCTCCAATGCCAGTGCAGAAGCGACCAAACTCGCCCAGACTCGAGAAGGCAAATGTGTTGAGACCGTAGAAGGCATGAACACCAAGGTAGTGCCATTGCTTGCAGACAGAAAGAAGGGCAAGGTGGTCATTGGGATTGATGGCATAAGTGACGTTGCATGGTGTACCGGAAAGGTGGAAGCGATGAAGCAAGCCGCTTCTGTTGGCGTTGGTCTGAGTAGGCTTTTTGGGGGGCATGTACGGATCGAGACGGCTGATGCAGTGAATTAGTCTGTTCTCCTGAATAAAGATCCATTTGAGGACATTGGCTTGGATATTTGCAGGCAACTGCGCGAATGGGAAGTTACCGAGTACCGATTGCGTCTGCGGTTCCGCAGCTTCCGTCTGTTCGTCATCCTGTACGAACAACGCCTCGGGTCCGTCACGCTTCTTTTCTGCCGTTTCTATGTCCTCGTTGTCTGGCTCGGAGTCAGAGTGGTTCTCTGCGTCATTAACTAAGAGGCCGTCTAGTGCATCTGCCCGAAGTTCCTTGGTTGTAGGGTCTCGAAGTCGCAAGTTTGGATGGACATTTTCGCGTTTGGAGCTCATGTTCTCTTCCTTGCAACAAAGCTTGTATATTTTATCGTATTTCATGGCTTTGCGGTGGTTGGGATTGGTCATGAACAGACGAAGTTCTTTATGCCATGTTATCTTGGTTCTCTTCCCGGTAACTCGTTCCTTCTTCAATTTCTCAATCTGTCGATTCGCCTTGCCAACCTCGGTTCTCAGCTCATTATTCGTGATTGTAAGAGCCCGAAGCCTGTCTTCAAGTGCTTCAACTTGCTTGTCATAGAACTTGACACTCTGGCGGAAGTCCTTTCGACACTCATTGCTGCAGCCAATACGGTCGAGATCGACGGGAGGCTGAGATGAGTTGAGTTCTTCATCGTTGTCGTTTGCACCTGATATGTCGTCGTACCCGTCTCCTTCGCTGCCAGATTCACTTTCTGCGTCGTCGTCTTCTTCTTCTTCATTCACTTCATCGCCAACTTCAGCGTTGTCCTCGCTGTTGTTGAAGGGCTCGTCAGAACCAGACCCAACGTCGCTGTCGAGCTCCAAGCCATCCTCCGATACCACGTCGCCATCATTAGAATCAACTTCGTCTTCATCAGGGTTATAGTGTCGCCGTACTCCCTCGCCCTCGTGGGGATCCAAGACGACGAATCCGTTGGCCTCCAGCTCGGCCTCAAGGTTCGGGCATCTACTAGAACGGTTGGCTTGAACAGTTCGCGACTGTCCGGTGACTTGAAGGCCTTCCAAGGCGGATTCCAGACCAGAGTGATTCGCTGATGACGGACCAGCACTTGATGCCTGCCGAGGATTGGCGACAGTACTCTCTTGGAGTGAAGACGGCTGCACACTGGCCGACCGGTTGCTGCTGGAAAGAGGAGAGATAATTGAAGGCGAGTGTAAGCCTATTGTGGTTGAAGTAGCTTGTGAATTCGAGGTCTCTGCCGAGAGCGACTGAGGAATGGCGTCCATCGTGTTCGCGTGAAGGACCTGCCGGTATCGAAATGGTCTGCCTCGGGTCTTCGTTATCTGAGGCTGAAGCTGGTCGCAGTGTGTGAGATGGATATATCTTGGGGCAATGTGAGTTGAGGTATGCGAGTTAGTGTGACGTGGGAGGTATTGGAGTTGAAGTGAGTGTGTTATCAAAAAGGAGATTTTGCAAGATGGGGAAGCAGATCAATGCCAACAATTGGGTTTCAGGGAAGGAGCAATTCGATCCCAAGAAAGTGCCGTAATACGTGGAAAGAGCCAAAAGTATTTCCAACTAGACTGAAATGCGCTGTCAAGAAGCTTCATCGGGTGCGCATGGGGAGATGGAATATGCCGTGGTAAGTGAGTGTCGCGTTTGTAGTATGACCCTGAATGATGTGGTCACTGATGTATTGAACTGCAAGCGAGGCAACCTAACCTTTCACGTCGGTCCGTGGACGTATCTGAGTGAGAGAGAAAGAGCGAGAGGGACGGAAGTCAATACCAAGAGTGGCAAATGGAGAAGATGGTGTATATTGTCGAATTCCAGAGTGCAGAAACGTAGCAATCTAGAGGTGGTGAGGTGCGAGGTTTGGAAAAGCCTGTAAGTGATGTTGTTGCTGCCGGAAGACACCCAACGGCAACGGCAGGAGCAAAACACTGTGGAGGAAGGGCATGGCTCTCTGAGAGGTACGGCGTGAAGATATAGATAACAAGACCAGATTGAGCCGCCAGACATGCGTATGAGTTCCTCTATTACAAGGGATTAGCCAGAGAATGAAGAACTAGGGAACAGATACAGGAAAGAAGGCAAGAAGCATCGAGAGAAACGCAAAGCTACTGAAGCAGGTAAATCCGGCCACTTCTCCTTGAGACTGTGACCACACAAAACGGCTTTACCCCCATCCAGTCCAGGGCCACGCGGCTCTCAAGGGCAAAACGAGAGTCTAGAGACTACAAGGGCCCTACGTGTGGTCTGGTGAGAGCAACCGAGAGATGCCTCGCCAGCAAAGCAAAAAAAAGACAGGGCCGCCTAGATGAGCGGCATTGCCAAAACAAGTGACGGTACTAAGACGCCATTATAATGTGAATGTGGAGGCTCCGCCTTGAGAAGTGTATTCAGGTACTGCGATATTCAATGGGCTAACAAGGTGTGGCTTACGAAGCAAGCCGACGGAGTAGTTGATGGCGTGTACAAGCGCAAGTCTCTGTAGACCGATCAGCTGGATTTTGCCCCGCCAGTTCGCCGTCGTGGCCAGGAGGGACATGCATGTCACCCGTACGTACTGCTATATTGTCCAACTATCGAAATGGGTGATTTTCCAGCCTCAATGTCTGTCCGCGTGGTCAGCGGCATTTCCCTCGTCACTCCAAGCTATCACGTTGTGGTGCAAAACGACGCTTTGAAAATGATGGTTGCATTGCTGAGCGCCAGAATCCAAAACACCGGTGTTGGTATCTGCCTGTATACGATGTACGATCCCGGTTTTTTTTCCCTTTTGTCTTTTCCTCTCAGATCCTCCTCTTTTTCTACGGTCGAGTTTAAGCGTTGGTCTTGAGAGTGCGGAAGAAGTCCATGACGCCAGTGAAGACAACAAGCAGAATACCACCTCCCGGGCCGAGACGGAGAACCTTGGGCAGGAAACCCTTGTACAACGCACTGAATCCCTCCTCCTTGGCGACGGTGGCGACGGCGGGCCAGGCCCAGTTGTACTTGGGCGTCGATCCGGGGACCTTGGGGCTGTTCTGGATGCGGGACTTGACGACGTCCATGGGCGTGTTGATGACTGTACCGATGGTACCACCGATGGCACCGGACATCAAATCGTTGGTGACCTGGGCAGTCTTGTTCTCGGCCTTGGGGAGCAGCTCGCGGACCTGGAAAATGCAGCCAAAGTAGCCGGCGTTCCACAGAACATGGCGCCACATGGTGCTCTCGAGGCCGTTGTACATGGCCAGGATGCCCTCGGTCTGGACGGTCTTGCGAACGACGTCGAGCATGCCGTTGTACTTGCCGGCAGAAGCCTTGTCCTGTAACCTGATCTTGACGAGCTCGAAGGGGACGACGACGAAGGCCTCGGTGGCACCGGCGCTGGCACCGGTCAAGATGGAGAGGGACTGGTTCATCTTGGCGACGCCGAACAGGTTGCGGTAGATCTTGCCCCACTCATCGTTGGCGGCGAACTTGGTCGCACGCTTGGGAGCCTCCATGAGAATGGGAGCGGTGATTCCGCGGTATAATGTCGCGAAGCTGCGGGTCTGTAAGCTGGCGAACGCTCCAGGGCTAGGCGGGGCCCCATCACGTACCCCTCGTTGCGGACGATCTTGCGGAAGCAGTCAACCATGCCATTGTAGTGGTCGGCACCGACGCCCTTTCCGGTTTGGAGTTGCCTGAGAAGGTCGTGTCAGTCGGAATGCGCGCGCGCACGCAGCAGCAGCAGAGGATCGAGGCGGTACTCACACTCGCGTCTTGACGACGTCCAAAGGGTACCTGGCAACGGTTAGCTGTTTGGCCACGTGAGCGTGTGGCGCAAGGGTTGTGGACTCACATCACCAGAATCTAGAGTCGCGGAAGCGTGAGCATGTCTGTCAATGCATCTCCGTGCGGTTTGCTGGGTGTACTGACCTCCGAGACACCGGCAATGGCGCCTGGATGCAGCGGTCAGTATTTCGGGTCCGATATCGCGGCGGTGGGGGATTTGGCGGAACGAACCTGCGGCGAACTGGTAGACGAAGGGGAGGGGCTTGTCGGTGGACATTTTGGCGGCAGACAACTGTGAATTGTGAGTACTAGCCTTTCGAGAAGAGTGACGGGTGCGCAATTGGGAGCATACCGAGAAGCAAAGAAAAACGGGCGGGCTTGGTGCGTCGGTGGGAAGGTTTTGGGTTTGGGAGAGGGACGGGAATTAGATCAAGCGAAAATCGAACGAGGACGCCGAGCTTGGCGGGAACTGAGGGCGGGCTCTTATCGCAAGGGTCCCTTATCGGCTTTGCAGCAGGTTTCCAAGTTACCGAGCCGCGCCGGCCTCCACCTGAGGCGGGTTCTTTGGCTCTTTGCTCATCGTCCCTGACACTTGTGACGCCCGTGATTGGCGCGCTCTCGGTGAAGCGGCATGGGTTGGAGGTGAAGGGGGCCTGGCGGGTTACATACTGGCAAAATGCTCTGCAAGTCCGGGGGGGTCCATGGGGGATATTTCTTTTACCCCAGGGCCCGGGCCATCATCATCAATGGGCAGCCCCCCCGATATGCGCATCTCTCTGAGACTGTCGAGGGCCGTCTCTTGCCGAACTACGTGCGATGATTCCGACGCATGTGCGACAACGAGGTAGCAATCAAGCTTCTTTCAAGCAGTAGTACTGAGCGAGAACTGATCAATGTTTTCTAGTGGCAACTACTTTACAACTCGAGTGGTTGCTCAAAGCGGACTACCGAATGACATGTATGTGTGAAGTACTTACAATGCGTAGTCCATTCGGCCTTGTTTAGACAGACTTGGGGTCCTGAAAAGTGAGCCAAGAAGAGAAACTTCCAAGCCGTCATGTTCACCGTATCCTTCTCGGCTACACCAGGTTCTTTGCGTTCGAGAAGCAAATGTTGCGAGTTGCCGGGACCTGTGAGAGACTGCAACCAAGGTACCTAAGGTAGGAGGAGCAGAGACTCGGCACAACATAAGCGTGCCGAGCAAGCGTGCCAAAACTGAGCGGCGCGCATATGGCAGCCCGAATGCGATCCCGGCGCTTCCAGGTGCAGCATCGAGGCGGGGTACAGGAGCCGGCCGGGGTAGCTCTCCACACTGATCCAAGACAATGTCACACGCAAGCTGAGCTACCGTCTATTAAGTGTCTGCAAGTATAATAAGCCAACTCGGACAAGTGTCCGACCATGGTTTGGGGAACACCAGCAACGACAAAGAGGGTGGAACGCCATTCGCAACAAAAACCGTTCTCAAGCTTAATGGAACAAGTGATGTGATATAGAAATGAGATGATTGTCAACTCAACCTATGAGGACACAGCATTCAAGGTTCCCGGACCACGACCCCGAGGGACCGTCTTAACCAACAGATGGAAGCATAAAGTTCTTGGCCTTGCTGTCTTCCAACATGCAAGCTTACGCAGGGACAAGTTTACGTTATTCGGCTCCAGAAAGACTTGAACTAGACAGCCAGATGCACTTAGTTTCTGAGCACGGGGTGCACTTGTCACATTGAGACAAAGGTGCAGCCAGTCTTACACCCTTTCAAACAGACTCGACTAGTAACACGTTGCCAGGTGAGACCGTCAGGAATACTATCAACGCCATCCACAACAATAGACCTTCCACGAGGATTGCAGGCATGGCAGGGCCGGTGACACCCAGACCAGCCCGGCTTTGATCGCCATTGCTGCGCAGGGCCACTGCGTCGGGACAAACATATTGCTTGTCCCCGAGCACCTCACTTCCTTCACGTCTGGCCTCACTCCGAATACGGGCACACCAAGGCGGCGTTTTTGTACTTATTGCTTCCTCCCAAATCATATGGGTTGCCACGGATGGTTTGGCCATACTTACCGTAACTTCCCTGGGGCTTTGATTCCCAGTATGTTCGTATTGTCGGCGATTGGGATCCCTCATACGTGTATGCTGGAATGTTCTCATCCAAGGCATGCAGAAAACATTGTCATGCGCTTGACTACTATTAGGTAGAGCAATCTGCCTGGCGAAAGTTATGTCTTGCATATCGAATTACCAAGCTGCCAGGATACATTGGCTACCGGAGCATTTTGGCCCGTAAAGACAAGATCTGGTTGTCGTATGCAAATAAACAAGTCGAGGTTGGGACGATTCACGCCTTCTTCTCCACTGGATCCGGCGCCAAGGTCCGGACTGTACATAATACTCAGTACAGAGTGCCTGCCACTGTAATGTTCAGCGCCTCGGTCCCACTCTGCCCGGACAGGGACCAGGATGTGTCCCGTCCAGCGACCTTCAGTGCTCCTAATTAGAACAGCATGCAGCTGGACAGCACGCTAGCCTCCTGAAGCGAAGCTTGTCTGGCCTGCAACCAGAGCACAAGCTCCAAGAAAGGCGTCCAATTGGCTGCGCGACAACGGACGAAGCCACAAAGTTGTCCCGGGATTTCGCGGCGCGGCGGGCAGTCGGGCGGGCGGGCTCTGACGCGCACAATCGCTCCAGTGCCCTGAGGTTTGAATGAATGCCCTCAATTTCCCATCGTCAACCCCACCTCCCTCGCGACCATTCCTTTCTCCCAACCCGCGCCCCTTACCTCGTCCTCCGTCCAAACCAACTCGTCCAGCCATCCAAACCAAAGCGCCTACGTCCGCGACACTGCCAATTCCACACACGGCTCGACACCTTCAACCGCCATCGCTCAACAGACATCGGAAGCTCCAAGCTCAACGACCAAGTGGCAACATCGATAAACCCCTCTCCTCCTCCAGGGCTTCGTAACCTCGCAACCGACCTGACGCGTCCCTTGGCTGACCGTACCCGAGCCCCATCGATCAAAAACCAAGCGTACCGCTCTTCTCGCGCTCGGAACCGCACCTTTAAACAAGCCGTGATCCCAGAGAATCACAGCGAGGTGCTATCCAAGTGCTGGAAGGGTTCCTTGCTCACACCTGCCCATGAGTCACCTACTTTGGAAATACTACTGGGAAAACGATGTCGAAAGGTTTCGGCGTCTACTGGCACCCGCCGGCCACACGTCACAAACCGCCACGAGGAGTCCGGGGATAGGCGCTGGACCTCTGGGGGAAGTCCCGGCCCGTACGGCACCTCTCCCCGGAATGTCAAATCACGCAAGGCGTCCGCAGCTGGCATCGGCGCTGCCGCTTCCAAGAACGCCAACACGAATCTCGGCAAGGCTGAAGTCAATAGTCGCGACCACGCCGGCCTCACTGTGCTCCTCCGAGCCGCTTCCTCGACCGATTCCGCTGCGATCCTCTTCGTCCAGGCGCTTCTCGACCACCCCGCGATCGATCTATACGTACAAGACCCTGAGAGCGGCTGGAATGCTCTTCACAGAGCACTATACAACGGGAATGTCGCTGTCGCGCGCCTGCTGCTCGAACGAGAGCGCAGGATCTTGACGGAACAGACGCTGGGAAGCTCCGTGGCCAAGGCCGGTCAGCTGATCAAGACCAAAGACCGTGAAGGCAACAGTCCTTTCGACCTGTATAACTCGACTATTGCTGTTCGAAACCTTGGTAGCTCGGGGGAATCCGACGATTCCGACCTCGACTCGGATATGGACGACGCTTCTGATGGAGGCCAGGCGTTGATGCGGTCCGTCGCGGCGCTCGGTGACGCATCTGAAGGCGAGGAGGTCTTTGTGTTCGGAAGCAACCGAAACATCTCTCTCGGAGTCGGTGATGAAGATGATCGACAGTATCCCGAGAGGATCACTCTGAGGCGACCGGATCAACTCGTGCGCAAGTTCTATGAGGAGTATCTTGCAAAGACGAAGATAGCCGCCTACGGAACGCCGAATCTTGCGGTTGAGAACATGAACATGGAGGAGATACCCGCCTTGATTAGGAACCGGCCGCTGCGGATCCATGACGCCGTTCTGTCCAAGTTGCACACAGCCATTTTAACCACCGATCCGGTATCAAACCTGTACATCTGTGGTGTTGGCCGTGGTGGACGACTCGGTCTGGGCGATGAAAATACCCAGTTCCGCTTCGTGCCCGTCCAGGGAGGTCTCGCCGACAAGAAGGTGGTGCAAGTTGCACTCGGTCAAAACCATACCATGGCAGTCACGGATGCCGGCGAACTCTGGACCTGGGGATCCAACAGCAACTCTCAGCTAGGATACAGCTTGCCGCCACCAGCCAGACAAGACGAGGACCCGATGAGCACCACCCCACGACAAGTGTTTGGGACACTCAAGAAGGAAGTGGTCGTGGGCGTTGCAGCATCCGCCGTGCACTCTGTGGCCCATACGTCGACGTCCCTGTTCTGCTGGGGCAAGAACCTTGGCCAGCTTGCACTCATGGATGCGGATTCGAGGTCCTTGGAAGTCCAACAAACCCCCCGAAAGGTTGCTGCTTCACTCTTCTCCTCGCCCATCGCCGCAGTCTCCGCCATCGACAAGGCGACCACAGTCTTGCTGGCCGACAGCACAGTCTGCGTCTTTACCAGCTACGGCTACAACTTTGTCAAATTTCCCTCCCCTGACGTCTTTGTCAACCACCAGTTCACCACGTCCATGTCGACAAGGTACGGCTCAGCGAGAAATCAAGTTAGCCGCATCACCTCCGGCGGTGAGACAATTGCTGCAGTCACCACAAGAGGTGATCTTTTCACCATGACGCTGAACCACAAGACTGATGCTGCGCCCGTGGCCACTTCCACGACGAACCCCTCCAAGATTAAGGGCGCCGTCACAACACCGCAGTGTGTCTGGAACGCTCGGAAGGATGGTGTCAAGTCGGCGAGCGTTGGCGAGCATGGCGCTGTTATCATTTGTACAGAGTCTGGAGCGGTCTGGCGGCGTATCAAGCGTGCCAAAGCAAAGGATGCTGCCATTCCAGGATCATCCGACATCAAGCGAAAAGACTTCAAGTTCCAGCGTGTCCCAAGCGTCACGAACGCCGTTGCCGTCAGGAGTTCCACATTCGGCGCGTTTGCAGCAATTCGCAAAGACTGCGATGTCATGAAGCAACAAATCAACATCGATGAACAGTCTCTCTGGGAGGACGTGGCATCATTGCTCACATTAAGAGACTTCCAGGCGTCAACACCAAGCGGTGG